TGGAAAGATGGTAGGTGTTCAAAACAATGTTATTACTATTATTTGCTATAATTATTCTAGGGACAGAGAATTCCTTACTGGTGCTGAGGCTTCATTTTGTGCTCTAATCCCCTGACCCCTATTGGTTCTTTATGTTCGTGACTAGTGGCTTAGTCCACGTTCTCAAGCATGCAAAGGCAGGAAGGATCCCGTTTCACATAATAAATTGTGAAGGGCCCTGGGAAGAACTCCAGGTGCAGGAGACTGAAAACTCTCAGCATTCACAGGCAGTTCGTTGCTTGTGTTATATTTGTCTTTATGCAATTTCTATTTATTTTTATGTTTTTCTTCCTTTCCCTCCCCCACATCTTGGGTCACAACCATTTAGAGACTCCTTATTCTTCCCTTGCAGTCTTAGGACTTTACAATAGAAGCCAACATGATGTAGTGTAAAGATCACTGGACTGGGCATCTGGAATGGAATTGTCCATCCCATTTCTGCTCCAAATGACTGTATGACTTTGTGCAATTCATTGGATTTGTCTGGGCTTCGTTTCCTCCTCCAAAAACCATGGACTGTCACATTACCTTTCCCTTCCCACGTTTGAGGCAGTAGACAGGCTGTAGGTTTTAGTGATGAAGGGACCCACTTTATGTCAGAATGCAGTGAAAAATATGAGGTTTGAGATTTCCTTTTAGGCTTCAGAATTTTTAGAAAGTAGAATTCAAACCAGAAATATTGATAAACAATTTTTAAAAGGTGGTTTTCTGTCTCTGTGGTGTTTGCATTAGCTGATGAGTCGTTCAGATATATTTTTAATCTGCTTTGCTGTCAAGCTACTTTTAATGGATGTTCTAGCCACTGGCAACTAATAATTTGTAATCATAAATGATAAGTAACAGAGGCACTTTGCTTTTCAGTCAGAGGCATCTGTCCACGAAGATGAAATGGACTTAGAACGTATTGTTAGGTGCCAAACAAAAACACAATCATACAGAAAGAGCCTGGAATGTTAGTAACAATGCTTATGCTTTCTGGAAGTATAAATATTCAGTCCGAATGCTCTGTGGTATCCTTGCATGGAGCCATAAACTGTCTTAAAAAAAATCTTTGTACCTATGAAAATGAAGTTACACTTGGTAGCTCTGAACTGTTGCTGTTAAAATTTTCTAATGAAAATTATTGGAATACTTTAGCACACCTATCCTTCAGACCACAAATATGTTTTGAAAATAGTTTTAGTATTAATAAAGGAATTTTTAGTTCCTGTAAAAAATGCAATGGAATTTTTAAATAAAATACATTATGGTTTAAATTTTTTCTCATTTAAAATTTTTTCCATATGTTTACATTTTCCATGTTGTGTTTCTATTGATATCCAATGCATAACTCAGTAATATATATATAGTAATATAGTTTTATATTATATATATGTATAAAATAAACAGGTTTTCTCTGTGAGTTTAGGAAGTAGTGCATGGCTTTGAGCATCCTCTGCTAGTAGGAGTTATTAATTAACATGATAGATTCAGAAATGCAGACTTGAAAATGGCCATCTCTTCAGGCTTCTATCAGTGTCCCTGCCTCCAGTGGTCCCTCTCAATTTCTGGTTTGCTGCGTTAGGTCTAATGAGCTCTGGGAACCAAAACATTAAAATTCTTCAGCTGTGTACCAAGTAAGACCTGAAGGAGAGACCAAATGTCCTCTTCAGGAGCAAACTGGCATTACATCTAGCACACAGATTTTGTAAGAGATACTGGGTGTCTCATTTATTTTTATATTTCCAGAGTCGAATACAGTATTTGTCAAGTAGCAGCTAAAGAGAAATTGTTATTTTAGTGAATGAATGCTCCGATGCTACTCTCTTCTCATTCTTTGGGTTCTTTGATATATTTTAGAAAGTGTGATTTCTTAGATATTTGTCAACTGTGCGAGGGAAGCCTTACTTTAATTACTCCACAGTTGACATGAAGGCTTTTTAAGGAGTGAAAGCTACTACATAAATTCCAAGCTATTTCTTGGAGGTGAGGCATCTTATCAGTGAGTCAATGTTGTTTTGTATCACATTTGGTAATGTTGAGGTTTATGAGTGCTTTGGTATAGTAATTATCCACAAATAATTTGGTTAAGATATTAAAGCTTTTCATTGACATTCTTGTCACTCCTCCACCCCATTGCCCAAGTTAAAAATAAAGCAATGTCAGGATAATAAAAGCTGTGGGTTGAAAAAAATGTACAGTAAAATAAACATCTTTTCCTATTGCATGAATGGTATTGAGTCAGGGTTGCTGCCTCAAACAGTGGCAAATGCTGTGCAAAAGCCAGAATGTGTTTATTCTTTCTGACCACTTGAGTTCCCTTTTTGCTTTGTTGTAGGCATCTTTGTGAATGCCACACCCAAAATTCAGGCATCCAGCAGGTCGTCTTCAATATGATGATTTAGATTGGGAGATACATTCATCTCAACTAATCCACTTAAGGGTAACTTAATTAAGAGAATAACATGTGCCAGCACTTTTCTGCTTCTAGGGGAATATTACATTAGAACATTCACATATTTGCACTTTCTGCAGAAACACAGGCAAGAAAGAAGAAAAAGAAAAAAAAAAAGAGGAATCACAGAGTCTTAAATGTAAATATGACCCAAGAATTCATCCATGCCACCCTTACATGCCCCAAAATTTTATTTCTAAACCAAATGTTAATGTGTTAATTAAAACTGATGTGATTTAAAAGATTTAGCAGTTTATTCCAAAGTAACTGTATTTATCACACAGAAAAGGTAGTAACTTGCAGGTGGATGATGTTTTTATATAATGTTGGTCCAGGTAAACAAGTACTGAATTTTTATTCCTATTATACCATTGAAGTATTTTCTGAGACTGTAACACAGCATGAATTTTAGTTTAAATGCATATTATGTCTAATTAAACTTTTAATCCTTTACTGGTTCTAAATTTTATTTTATTTGTATTACTTGGGACCTGTTTTCAGTTAAGAAATACCAAATGTGGGGCACCTGGGTGGCTCAGTCAGTTAAGTGTCTGCCTTCAGCTCAGGTCATGATCACAGGGTCCTGGGATCGAGCCCCAAATCAGGCTCCCTGCTCAGTGGGGAGTCTGCTTCTCCCTCTGTCCCTCCTCCCACTCGTGCTCTATCTCTCTCTGTCAAATAAATAAATAAAATCTTAAAAATAAAGAAATACCAAATAATTGATGTTTAAAAGCGTGGATTTCCTATGTTTCTTTAGATTATTTATCTCAGATATATATTGTGACTATAATCGCATTTTATGTATGTAGAAAATCTAAAGGTGATACTCATTTTCTCCATGCAACTGCTCAAAACTTTAATATGTTCTATTTATGAAGTTGGACAAGGGATACAAGATTTCTCAAACTGTAGTTCACATTTTTGCTTCAATATGCATGTTTTCTGAAATGGCAAAATCCCTCAGGGCTATGTGATTTTTCACTAGTGTGTGTGTTTAAAGTTCATAGGCAAACACAACTGAATAAGTCATGGAACACATTTTCTCTGTATGCCTGAGAAATGCAAATTGTTATAGGTCAATTGCTGAGAGGTCTTGTCTCTATCTTGTATATCTTGTTTGCAATTTGTTTTTCATTTATTCCAAGCATACACAATTCACTTTATATTTGCTTGTTACTTACATGTTGTTCAGTTGTCTGCAAAGTTTGTTTTTAACCTGAGGAGAAACTATTCTCTGTTGACTGTACTAACTAATGTACTAACTAATGCTTATCAACATTTCCAGGGCTAGGAGGGGGAATTCATTGCTCACATACCACCTTGATTACTTGTACTCATTTTTAAAGGAATATTAACTAACAGATCGGAGAGATCATAGCTAAACTAAGAAACAGATCTATCTGCCTTGTGATGTTGGGATCACATATACCAATGCTCACCCTGGAAAAGACTTTTCAAATGCAGGGCAAGAGCCCATGCTTGGAGTCTCGCAGATCTGGAGTCCCATTCTAGTCTACCATGTACTAGCTGTGTAACCTTCGAGGTGCTTTATAACTTCTCTGAACTTCATTTCCCCAACTGATAAAATAAACATTCTAGCCCCATGTCAGAGGACTGTTGTAAGGAATAGGAAGGAACTGGGCAAATCACTAGTGGTATGTGACAAACCAGCTCTCAGTTTGTTTGTTTTTTTTAATGTCTTGATTTGCCTTGATTTGTAGTGTGGTGTAAATACTTTCATCATGGTTGATTTCAAACTATGAATGATTTAACAACCACCTGGTAAAATTCTTGAATATGTAACAGTCCTCTGGTACCATCCAAGCCCAGCACAGCACTGCTAGCCCTTAACAAATGGTGATAATTACTTAATAGTTATATTTTGTTTTCCATTGATCTAAGAAAATTTTTGCTGTTTGGTGCATTTCTAGACAGATGGAGAATGTGAAAGCTAAAGGAAGAATAGTAATGTATAAGGTTTAAAATATTAATGATTTCAAATAACAAAAAAGAGCTACCTTAACAATTTTGAAAGTAGGTGAAAAACTTACAACAAGAAGGAAACATTTTAATAAGAAAATGTGTTAGTAAAATCTTTAAAAGTAAGAATAGAGATTACCTGTAAGATGTTCTAGATGAATTAAATTTAATATTAGCTTTTTCAGATTGGTTAGAAATGGTTTGATTTTTTCTGGTCTTACTTTCTTTACACAAAAAAGTCCTAAGGGGAAAAGTGTGTGTATTTGATACCTTAACAAGTAAAGATAAGCAGACAGCCATTATTTAAAAACCTTGTACTTTCAAAAGAGCTCTTTCGATATCATCCAGTAGCCAATTTCTATTATTCAAAATTGACTTTAGATTTTAAAGTTTGCTACAAGGATATATTTTTGGAAGTATTTCTTTACTGAGTAACCATGGCGATTTTTCTTTTTTTTGGCAATAATGAAAATTTGCATGCATAGTCTGACATGATGGACAAGGGATGGCATACTTGAACTGAGATTGCTCCAGAACATCTGGACACATGAAACCTGTAAATGACTTTCATGTAGCAATGCACATCTCAGTTTACAAAGCACAAATTGTGCGTGATCTAGGAGAAAACCACCAGAACTGCAGGCAGTTGATGAAATCAGCCTGTGCTGACAGTACCATTTTTTACGTGCATTTACTGTGCCATGAGCAGTCAGTGCTGGGACACCACGCCTGGGCAATGTGTGGGCAAACTCGAGGGCATTTCTGTGAGTAAAAGCTGACTTACTCCAATGAAACTCCTCTGTCCATTTCAGCAAGAGGAGACTCCAGGGATGGGGACACTGAAAGGACATGAGGGTATTTTCTATGTTAATCTCACTTATAAAATGACAGAAGCAAATAGCACAGTAGGTCTACATAGCCAGACAAGGCTGTGAGGAAGAACTGGGAAGACTGTACATTAGAACCCCAAAATTGATGTCCTGCCCTTTAAGTGAGAGATCCTCACTGCAGCATGTTGTCCACCAATGCAAATACCTGTTTCTCTGGGGATGTATATGTTTCTTCCTAAGTGCATGTGACTCTGTACACATTTCCTGTTTTTAGAGATATTACGGATGTGTACTTCCACGAAGTTTTGGGTGTTTGCTCAGATTTGGGGAAAGAGAGAAAGACTGCACCTTCTTTCTCTTACCTAGGTAAATTAAAATGTTTCTCAGCGTGTGAATTGCCTTTAGTATCACAACCTAGTGCAGGGGCAGAGGTTACATGGTTAAGTTGGTAAAGTTTTCTCAGGTTCATGTTACAATTAAGTAAAGTGAAAGAGGAAAGTATTCTTTTCCCGTTGACACAAAATGTGATTACTTGCCATCCTTGTGAAACGTTATCTCGTCAGCCTTCTGGATAAGCCTGGCTGGTATGTCTACGGATTAGATGCAAAACAATGTGAGAAACATCAATGGACGCTCTTTTATCTGTCCGTTTTTCTGTGGGACTCTTTCCCATGAAAACATATTCATTAATTAAAAGATGTGGTGTATTACAAACTAATGTTGGCAGCTTGACCCAGAGTCAATACCCATGAGAAATCAAAGTGGGTATATTTCAGGGGTCCTAGGGGCAGAATTTCCGTGGGCGGTTGAATGATACTGTTGTTGCTTTTAGTATATCCTCTCCCATCAGATATTTTGTTTCATGCAATTCACTCTGCAAGCAAAATCCAAAAGCAAAAGCGGGGCACCTATTTAGCAAATGGAAGTATATTTAAGATACTTTGGCAGGTTATTTTTTTAAATTTAATTTTATTATGTTAATCACCATACATTACATCATTAGTTTTGGATGTAGTGTTCCATGATTCATTGTTATTTTTTAAAGACATAGTTCTCTTCTGAGCCACCTGCAGTATTGAGCTGAAGGCTTGGAAACATGAAAAATCCCACTTTATTAAAATCCTGGGTTTAGGGCTTTTCTTTTAGATTGAAACATCGTCTAACTAGAAAGTATTAATATTGAGTTAGATATATAGGCTTTGAAACATAATGGTTCTAATGATACCAGTCATTTTTTTTTTTTTTTTTTTAAGATTTTATTTATTTATTTGAGAGAGAGAGAATGAGAGACAGAGAGCATGAGAGGGAGGAGGGTCAGAGGGAGAAGCAGACTCCCCGCCGAGCAGGGAGCCCGATGCGGGACTCGATCCAGGGACTCCAGGATCATGACCTGAGCCGAAGGCAGTCGCTTAACCAACTGAGCCACCCAGGCGCCCCGATACCAGTCATTTTTTAAGTGTGCATTGGCACCGCATTGTACCCCTGGGCCTCAGAACAGCTCTGCAAGTCAGGGCTTTTATGCTGTCTCTTACGTAGTTAAGGAATCGAAGGCTTGGAAAGCCGAAGTAGCTCGTCCAAGCTGACCTTGCTGGTAAGGGAGGGAGTGGGGATTTCAACGAAGGCCGACAGACGCAGCGCCCACGCTCTTAACAACCAGATTCTATTGTCCGCTCAAGTCCATAATTTCACCCTGGTTGTGTTGGGAAGTGTGCAGACTGATCCATTTCCGTGTGGATGGCAGTGGGGAATCTCTGAGTAACGGACGCCCTTGTCTTTTGCCCTTAGGCCCCTGGGGAAGGTGTACGGGCGACTGTGGACCCGGAGGAGTGCAGAGTCGGGCCCTGTGGTGTTTCCACTTGGAAGGGTGGACGAGTCACCGGTCTAACTGCGACGAGAACGCCAGGCCTCCCAAGGAAAGAAGCTGCTTCCGGGTGTGTGACTGGCACAGCGACCTCTTCCAGTGGGAGGTCTCCGGCTGGCGCCAGTGCGTGCTCGTTCCCGCCAGCCCCGGCCGAGCGCCGCCTCGCCCCGCAGAGTGTGTGACGGCGCAGCATGGGCTGCAGCGCCGGAGCGTGCGCTGTGTTCAGAAGTTGAACAGAACCGGGGTTGTAAATGCAGTCTGTGAACACTTTGCCCCTCAGCCCCCCGCAGAGCAAGCTTGCCTCGTGCCCTGCCCCCGGGATTGTGTCGTATCTGAGTTCTCACAGTGGTCCGAGTGCGGCAAGCGCTGTGAGAAGCAACTGCAGCACAGGACCCGGGCGGCCGTCGCTCCCCCTCTCTATGGCGGGTCTCAGTGTCCCAATCTGACGGAGTCGAGAGCCTGTGACGCTCCCATTTCCTGTCCTCTTGGCGAAGAGGAATATATTTTTAGCCTTAAAGCAGGACCATGGAGTAAATGTAGCCTGCCTCATCTTAAAGAAATTAACCTAAGCGGAAGAACTGTTCGGGATTTCAGCTCCGATTCAAAGGAGCGAGTCACCTTTCGACGTCAAAGTTACAAGCCACATCACCTCTCCAGGCCCTGGGACTTAGAGATAGGTTATCAAACCCGGCAGGTCTGGTGCACCAGAAGTGACGGAAAAAATGCTATGTTAAGGTAAGAAGGCCTTCAGTGTTTTTATCTTGGCTTCACCTAGCTATTTTACAATGCAATTTTATAAGGTTTCTTTATGATTCCCTACGAAGGGAAAATTATAACCAGGTTGGGATTTGGATTTTTACAAGTTTCATCGGAGGAGTTTCCAATTTCAATCATGAATATTTCAGAGTATTGACAAGGCAGAGCTCTGAATTCTTGCATAATTAGTAGTGTAACTATACAGGATAAGGCATATATTACCACGGTTTACCAAAATATCAACCAGTTTAAAAAAAATAGGTCTGTACTGTTACTACAATAATAAAAGACTAAGCCTTTCTTTATAATGGTGAAAATTCCAATTGACTCCCAAACTTGGGATGTAAATTATGCAAATATTTATCATTTTTCATAATCGTGTTTTTAAAATTTTTTGTTTTCTTTTGTTTTCATGATTAAGAAGGTTCTCTAACATTTTAGTTGTAGATTTTTCATAGAGGCTTGTTTTAGGTGGCTGCAAAATGAGTCGAACTCAGCAGAAAGTTAATCCAAGAATGCTTTCTATGACATTGATCTGAAAAAAATATTACCTTGCTCAGCAATAAATAGAATTACAAACCTATAGAGGGAATGAACTACAACTTTTTAAAAGGATAGTTTAGGCTTAAACATTATTTGTAACTGTTTTACTTTAAATTCTAGTACAAAAAAAAAAATTCCATGACATAAGTATATAGAAATATGTTCAAAGTTGTATTTGTTTAATTTTCCCCAGAAGGTCTTAAATGGAAGCACTGGTATATTACCAAGTTTTTTTCCAAATTTAAATGCCTTTCACCAGTACTTAAATTACAAAACAGTGAGGCGCTCATCCCTAGAATTAATCATTATCATCAGTCACTGTTTTCTTGGAACCCACAGCTGGCTGGGAGAGGCTCAAAAGACTACCTCTGCTGCTATTCAAGAACAAAGTAATGTGATGATTGTTTTGTTTTTTTTTTTTTTAAATTTGACTTCACAAATGAGCATATTTTATCTTTGATGATTCATTCTGATTTATGCCATATACAATTGGCAAGTCCATTGAAGAGTGATTTTATGCCTTTTATTGCCTGCCTCTGTGAAGCCCAAAAGATTAAGCAGATGATTTGGGTGATTATTGTTTGAATGTGTATGTGGGATTCTGTAAAGACATTGTTTTCTTAATATTCCAGAGAATGTTTTCATTTTTAGCTTGCTTGTTTTTGCCTTTTTTTTTTTAATTAAGACTGTTTTTTAGACTGGTTTTTGATTTACAGAAGAACTGAGTGGAAAGTACCATTTCCATATACCTTCTCATCACTCCCCTCCACATATACAGTTTCATACATACATCTTGCATCAGTGTAGTGTATTTGTTAAAATTCATGAGCTATGTCAATATAATACTATAGTCCATAGGTTACATTAGAATTCACTGTGTTGCACATTCTGTGGCTTTGGACAAATGTGTAATGATATGTATCCACCATTGCTGTATCATATAGAATAATTTCACTGCCCTAAAGTCTGTGCTCTACCTATTGATCTCACCTTTCTTCTCCCCATTTCTGTTCCCTGATAGTCAATGATCTTTTTATTGGTTGCATAGTTTTATCTTTTCCAGAGTGTTATATAGTTGGGATGATACAGTGGTTAGCCTTTTCTTATTGGCTTCTTTTGCTTAGCAATATGCATTTAAAGTTCCTCCATGTGTATCCATGGCTTGAAAGCTCAGTTCTTTTTATCACTGAATAGTGTTTGTTGGTTTACAAACTACCCCTCTTACCCCATATACACAGGGCAAGGAGAGATCAAAGAAAGAGGCAGACCATTCCAGATTGGTAGATGGCATTTTAATAAGCATGAGAACTTAATTATGAGGCTTGTTTTAGGTGGCTGCAAAATGAGTCGAACTCTGTACCCATCTGCCAAATCTTAAAAGTTTATATAGAGGCCTTAATTGGGTCCAGTCCCGTATACCATCTAGATGGTCTCAAAAACACGTTACTCCCTTAAGGCTGTGTCCTTAAAGAAGCTCCCACTGTGTGCAGAGCATATATTCCAAGGACAGGGGAGGGAGTGAGGAGCCTCCAGTTGCCCAAGTCCAGCCCAAGGTCAACTGGAAGTCACAACCTCTTGATTACCTCCTCCAACAGTATTCCATTGTATGGCTATATCACAATTTGTTATCCATTCACCTATTGAAGGACATCTTGATTGCTTCCAAGTTTTGGCAGTTATAAATAAAGTTTCTACAAACATTCATCTGCAGATTTTTATGTGAACACACGTTTTCAACTCATTTGGAAAAATTTAATGTAAGAGTTTGTTTAATTTTGTAAGAAACTGCCAAACTGTCTTCCAAAGTGGCTGTGTCATTTTGTATTCCCACCAGCAATAAATAAGAGTTCCTATTGCTTCACATTCTGGCCAGCATTTGCTATTGTCAGTGTTTTGGATTTTAGCCATGTTTTAATAGGTGTGTAGTGGTATCTTGTTTTAATTTGCAATTCCTTTTTTTAAAGATTTTATTTATTCGACAGAGAGAGAGACAGCAAGAGAGGGAACACAAGCAGGGGGAGTGGGAGAGGGAGAAGCAGGTTTCCTGCTGAGCAAGGAGCCGATGCAGGACTTGATCCTGGGATCATGACCTGAACTGAAGACAGATGCTTAAGACTGAGCCACCCAGGCGCCCCATAATTTGCAATTCCTTAATCACGTATAATATTAGTTCAGCATCTTTTCATATGCTTACTTACCATCTGTTTATATTCCTTGGTGAGGTGTCCAGATCTTTTGCCTATTAATTTTGAGTTGTTTTCTTATAGTTGAGTTTTACAAATTCTTTGTATATTTTGGATACCAGTCCTTTATCAGATATGTGTTTTGAAAATATTCCCTTCCAATTGATGGCCTGTCTTTTCATTCTCTCAAAAGTGTCTTTCACAGAGAAGAATTTGTTGTTGTTGTTGTTGTTTAATCTTAATGAAGTCCAATTTATCAATATTTCTTTCATGGACTATTCTTTGGTGTTCCATCTAAAACAACAAGTTCTCTAAATCTAAGATCAACTAGATTTCTTCCTATATTGTTTTCCAGGGGTTTTACATTTTACATTTAGGTCTATGATCCAGTCTAACTTTTGTGAAAGGATAAGGTCGATGTCTGAATTCATTTTTTTTTTTTTTTTGCATGTGGATATTCAGTTGTTCTAGTATCATTTGTTAAAAAGACTCTCCTTTCTCTATTGAATTGCCTTTCCTCCTTTGTCGAAGATTATTTGACTGTATTTATGTGGGTCTATTTCTGGGCTCTGTCTTTATTCCATTGATCTATTTATCTCTTTGCCAGTAAAACAATGTCTTAAATACTGAAGCTTTATAGTAAGTCTTGAAGTTGGGTAGTGTCAGCCCTCTGAATTGTTCTTTTTTAATATTGTATTGACTGTTCTGGGTCTTCTGCTTTTCCATATACACTTCAGAATCAGTTTTTTCAACAGCTACAAAATAATTTGCTGAGATTTTGATTGGGATTGTTTGTAGTGTATGGAGCAATTTGCAAAGAAATAACATCTTGATAATATTGAGTCTTCTTGTCCATGTACCTGGAATATTTCTCCATTTATGTACATCTTTGATTTCTTCATCAGAGTTTTATACTTCTTATCGTGTAAATCTTATACATATTTTATTAGATTGATACTTAAGTATTTCACATTTTTTGGTGCTAATATAAATGTATTGTGTTTTTAATTTCAAATTCTAATATTTCATTGTTAGTATACAAGAAAACAATTGACTTTTATGTATTAACCTTGTATTCTGAACCCTTGTTATAATCACTTACTAGTTCCAGGACTTTGTGTTGTTATTGTTGATGAAGATTCTTTGGGATTCTCTATGTAGACAAGCATATCATTTGCAGGCAAAGGAAGTTTGTTTCTTCCTTTCCAATCTCTTCCCCTTTCATTTCCTTTTCTTGTCTTACTGTATTATCTAGGAAATTCAGTATGATGTCAAATAGGAGTGATAAGGATGGATATCCTTGCCTTGTTCCCGATCTTAGCAAGAGAGCATCTGGTTTCTCACAATTAAGAAAAATGCTAAATGTACATTTTTTGTGGATATTCTCTTTTTAAAAAAATATTTATTTGAGAGAGAGAGAGCAAGAGCACATGCATGAGTGCAAGCAGGGGGAGGGGCAGAGGGAGAGAAACTCAAGCAGAACCTGTTGGGGGGCTGAGTCTCATTGAGATCATGACCTGAGCTGAAATCAGGAGTTGCATACTCAATCAACTGAGCCACCCAGGCTCCCCATAGATACATTTTTTTTAAATTTTTGAAGATTTTATTTATTTATTTGACAGAGAGAGACACAGCGAGAGAGGGAACACAAGCAGAGGGAGTGGGAGAGGGAGAAGCAGGCTTCCCGCTGAGCAGGGAGCCCGATGTGGGACTCGATCCCAGGACCCCGGGATCATGACCTGGGCTGAAGGCAGATGCTTAAGGACTGAGCCACCCAGTCGCCCCCGCCCCCGCCATGGATATTCTTTATCATGTTGAAGAACTCCCCCTATGTTCCTAGTTTGCTGAGAATTTTGGTCATTCACTGGTGTTGGTTTTTGTCAAGTGCTTTTTCTGTGTGTGTAGATATGATTGTATAATTTTACTTTAGTCTGTAGATAAGTTAGATTGTATTAATTGATTTTTGAATGTTGAATCAGCTTTGCATACCTGGGATAAATCACATTTGGTTATGATGTATTTTTTTTTTTCTGTCCTTTTACCAGAATTCTTTTTTTTTTATTATTATGTTAATCACCATACATTACATTAGTTTTTGAGGTAGTGTTCCATGATTCATTGTTTGCGTATAACACCCAGTGCTCCATGCAGTACGTGCCCTCTTTAATACGCATCACCAGGCAAACCCATCCCCCACCCCCTCCCCTCTAGAACCCTCAGTTTGTTGGTCAGAGTCCATAGTCTCTCATGATT